TTCTCGTTCAAGCCGCGCAAGGTGTGCGAGATTTTACTGTTGATTTCACATCTTATGTCAACTTGCTGAGGTTGGATAAACCGATTGAATCTTCTCACTTGCTTTTTCCACAGAAAAGAAGATTTAAAGGGACAGGTTGCGAAGGCGGACTTGTTTAAGCCTGACGGGGAAACAGAGGCACAAAACAGACAGCTCTAGCCGGAAGGTGAGGGATACATGACTCGTCTTGAGCTGTGTGATGACCCCTTCACCGGGCTCCTTAAGGAGGTGGAAGGTCAAACGTGGGCAGCTGTACTCCTCAGCAGCATGACGTCTTCGAAAAATCGGTTGACGGGGGAAGTGGGTTGAATATTGCGGCCCTGGACATAACGCTGGGACTCCCAATTGTCTGCCTCTCCGAAGGCAAAATTTCAAGGACAAGGTACGTTTTCAGCAGCTCAGAAAATCACAAAAAAAGGACAAGGTACGTTTTCAGCAGCTCAAGAAAATCACAAAAAATGTTGGATCATGTTATATACCATTTAAAAAGCTGCCAATCATGTGCAGCACAAGCACAAGCACGCAGAAATGTTTCAGCTTCTCAAACGACAGCAGCTGATCTATAATGGAGCCAACTCTACCATGTCATGCCTTCAAATGAGTTATCCTTGAATAGAAACGTTTGGTATGTTCCAGTCTGTCGCTCTAGTAACGTTCTTATTTTGCATACTTTAAAAAAAATGCGTATATTTCTGTGGTTCTTGTCAATTGAGAAATTTTTAATCTAATTTAATATTTGGGTGTCCAATCAACATTAATGGTTACACACAGAAGGTACTGGGTTCAAATCCCCGACATACTCAATGGCTGCCTATGTTGGTTGCAAAGACCCTGACTGGGTTCAAATCCCCGACATACTCAACGGCTGCCTATGTGGGTTGCAAAAATGTGGGTCATTTTTTTTGTATGTATTTTTGTTATTTTCAAAATTCATCCATCGGGCCGAATTGAAATAAACCCCCCGCGCGGCCCTTTTTGCCCCCGGGGCCCTTATTTTTGCCCCCCCCCCCCCCCCCCCCCGCCATAGAAGCTTCTCACCTTCCACATCCACCAGGCGGTGTACGTAAAGGGACCACCAACGTATTTCCAGACTAGGTGGCTGACAAAAGGAGCACAGAGAGTGTCGTAATTTGTCACTTTGGCAAAGAGGGGGGTCAGACGAGGAAGGAAGTAAAACATTTCGTTTGAGTGAGCGAGCAGCAAGTGAGCGAAAGCAGCTGACACAGTTTTCTGGCAGGCTAAATCCAGCAGCTCGCAAATAATAGAAGTGAACGACAACAACACAGTTCTCCGTGTACTGTATTAGCATAGTACTGACTGATTCAGTGGTCATATACAGTCTGATCAGATAGTCAAGTGGGCCACACCAGTACAATAGCATAATTACTTATGAACATCAGAATAAAAAGTCCATGTTTTTTTGCATTGTTTTCAAGTACAAATATATTAGAAAATATATATATATTGAATAAAATATTTGACAAACCATCACTAACATGCAGTGTTTGTGCATTTTTTCACTTTCTACATTCATCAAGCGGGCCGCATCGAACCCCCGAGTGGGCCTGTTTTGGCCCGCGGGCCGTATGTTTGACACCCCCGGACTAAAGTATCCAGCCTAGCACATAGTAAATAGTTTTGTTGAAATGGCCTCAAAAACATCTCGACGAAAGGAGGCACAAAAACGAACCAATAAACTCTTTGACGCTTTGTGCTAGTTTGGAAACTAAAATAATGTCATTCTCGCAGATGACTCAGCGGCGATTGGAAACTGTGTACGACGTGGACTCAAACACGTAGCCCAACTCAGGCTGTCATTTAGGAGCAGAGCAACGATGCACAGCGGCAAAAAAAATAAACCAGCTCTAATAGAACATTTCTACAGTCCGCTGATCCGTCAGAGATTTATCCAAGCTCCACCACATCACATGTCTGCAGTAGCCAACACACCCTGTCATTTGAAGTATGAAAGGAGACTCGCTCCATTCATTCGTGGGTATGTTTTGCGGGCCGTTCCATGACTTACTCACCGGGTAAAAGGAAGACACTGATCCATATAAAAAGAAGGCAAAACCAGAGGCTTTGTTACTGCCTGACATTTTGTACATGTGGCATCAATCATATTTCTTTTTTTTTTTTTATTTTTCAATTGAAGAAAGACACAAAAAAGATCTTCTTCAACAGCTCTGCGTTTACATAGATAGGGTTTGGGAAATGGGCTGACTTTATTAGCAGTAAATAAACCAGACCAGAAATTGCTCTCAAACTACTCTGGACTTTCTTTTTTTTTTTTAAAGAGCCACATCCCGACATACCGAGGTCACGCACCCATCCTTACCCTGCATTTTTGTCCTCAGGGATCCCAGGAGACCCATCCTGCCAGGTGGTGCAGAAAACACAACTTCACCTTCAGCTCTGTCGTAACTGGCTCAGAGCATCGCTGCGGAGTCGGTGATAAATTGTGCAAATTACTGCAGGGAAGCACTCTGGCAGTGAATGTGGGTATGGAAATATTACATAACAGTTATCGTGCTATGTTTTACAAAATATGGCTTTTTTTTTTTTTTAGAATTCAACATGCAACATTTTTTTGATTTTGGACTAAAAATAAAACAGATGTAGAAATGTTAGGTCCAACGTCTGCTTCCTTTCTTTAATACTCTCTAACAACGGACTGCTTCCCATTATAAACACCTGTGGACCTGGCAGTGGTGACTGGAGTTTGTCTTTTTTTTTTCTCCCCTTCTGGCACATTCGGAGCAGACTTTTCAGGTTTCAGCCAACATTGATAATTTACAAATGTTCAGAGAAGCTTTCCAATGGACATGCAGGCAATTCATTTTAGATTTAATTAGGAAAAGCTAAATTTTAATGTCTCCAATTAAGGATAAATGAAGCCAGTAAAAAAAAAAAAAAAAAACTTACTGGAGAGCAAGTGAATGTGTCATTTGAACTGGAACTAGCTACAGCTAACCATGTTAGCACATGCACATTATTACCCGGAATAAACCTTCTCAAAATGGAGACAGGATTAAGTCAGATGTCATTTCTGTTGTCATTTTTTCCGAGCCAAGCCCCAGTAATGAAAGTGTCTTTTAAATGTCCAAAATACATGTTCTCATAAGTAAATATTATGCTACGTTTGAATCAAATGAATTCCCCGAATATTCCAAACTGAAGAAAGCTTTCAGAAAGATTATCAAGAATTATTTTTTTTTCTGAATTTTCTTTTTTTTTCCAGGGGAGCCTAAAAATGTAGGTTGATGAAGGGACGGCTTTCTTCCTTGTATTGGACAGATGACTCGAGTCAGTGTGAAGAAAGAGCTCATTCTTCTCTCCCATGAGTAAACACTGACAGACACTGGCTAGTGGCTAGCTCGAGTGTGCCTGTGAAGAGCGCTTGTGTTTAAATGCGATGTCGGGTTAAACTTAACTCTAAGTAAAAAAAAAAAAAAAAAAAAAAAAAACTTTTTCTCACTTTACCTCCTCGATATATGCGACAAAAAATGACCAGTAATGTTACCTTCAGCTGCGATTTCTGGTTCATAACTGAAAAATTGATGCTAATATTATGCTAACCGGGTTTTTGAACGTGTTTGATGGAATATTTCAGTTAAATGCTAATGTATTGGGGCTACATGGAAACAAACCTGCATAGAAATCGATGAGGGTTGATGACGGTCTACCTATATAGATAACGAAATAACTTTGGATATTAGAAGGTCTGCTTCCATTTTTAAAATAACCTGTTTACCTATGGTGGCTGCCAGTGTTTATTTGCACAGCTTTGAGTCAAGAGTCTCTGAAGTAACACATTATAAGGTGGCTTGTTGTCTGACAGGGCTTTCCTTTTTATTTTCTATTCACCATTCTCAAGCGAAGTGTACAAATCTGGAGATTTGTTCACTCACAAACCCCAGGCAGGTTTACAGGGACTTAAAACAGAGAAACTGTTGGATTGAATGGACAAATGTGCAAGTGTCAGATTTATATCTTTAAATCTGGGCCAAGTAGGTTTGGGTTTTAAAATGAAGCTCGACAAATGTCATCCACCTACACCTACAAAGCTGCTGCTGAAAAGGACAAATACAATGACCAAATAATTAATCAAATGAAGGAGGAAGTCAATTATAGAGTCTTTAAAAGTTAGAATTTTTTTTTCTAAGAGTCTGCTCCATCCCAAAGATGTTATTCATGTCATGTTTGGCAGCGGTAGTTTGTTATAGAGCCATCTCCCTCGTTCAGACACCAACACTTTGGTTTTAATATTCACAGCTGATAACAATTACAGGCACGTGTTGGCAATAATGGTGGGAAAATATTTAGGAGACACACTGAAAGATTTGCGGACTTTAATGTTGAGTTATATCTCTGAGCAATCAGCCTATAAAAATTCTAACTTATGGCATAAAAGTATTTATTCCTGATGGGAAAATAATGCTATGCTATGCTTCAATTGACTAACGATGCATTGGTTTTTACTGTAAGTGTGCAAAAACCTGCTAATAATGATGAAAAATATGTAAAAAAAAAAAAAATCTCAACTCTAAGAGAGTATTTTTTTGCCTTTACTCACTAATCAATAGTTATTACATTTGTTGCAGCTGTTGCACAAAATGCATTCAGGTACCGTCGGAAACTTGAGAATCAAACAATTGTGGCAGTTTACATGTGGTGCGGTTGGCTAAAAAAAATGGCTAAAAAGAAAGTAATGAAGCTAATAAAATTAAAAATAATCTGATTTTTTTTATCGTACATCAAGTGGGGTGCGGCCCATCAGATGAAGAGTCAGTCCTCCATACACCTGTAATACTGTAACTCACCCAAAGAATCCATGTGTGTGTTCTGATAGTGTAATAGAAACTGTCGTGTGTATTACACCGATTTTTTTTTGGGGAGGGGGGGGTGAAATTTATTTTAATTTTAATCACAGCGTCTTTCATAATTTCATATTGATAGATGTTGACTCTAAAAATATGTATATATAAACATTTTTGTCCTCTCTTGTGCCAAAAATACTTAAAACCTTCACATTCCTGTAAACGTATTTGGATAAACTTCTTTTTCCCGGGTCTCAGCCCGGACAGACCTGCACGCACGCTAGCGTGGGGGAGCTAATGGGTGGACCCAAAGGAGGATTTCCAGCCCCGTGATTTGCTAATCAGGGGCTGGTTACCCTGTCAATCCTTTGTAATCGTGGCTCTGGTTTGTGGAGCTGGCCCAGCCCTCCTGTCGGCGGACGCACCAAGGGTAGAGACTGCGTTCTGCGCGTTTTGGTAAAAGCCCGACTCCCTTCACTGTGAAGGCTGGGCACTGGGAAAGGAGGATCGGGGGCCTCGTAACTGAGAGAAGAGGCTGAAACTCTACACATATGGCTTTTTTCTAGGACTGTTTCCATCATAATTTGGGATTGTGGACGGGACGGAATTGAAAATCACCTGAAGTCGCCCAGAGGTTTTATTCACTTGTGGGCCATGGAGATGCAAAGGTGGTCCACAAGGTGGAAAACGAAAAGGTGGCTAATGGATTCCACTGTAACGGCATTCATCACTTTAACCCTGGTTCTGCAGGCTGCTCACGTCAAAGCAGGTAAGAGTGTGAGGGATAAAACTTGTCTAAAGAACAAAAAAAAAGTTTTCAGCTCTAGGAAAAAAAGAGGGGGACGGAGCGGCGTTTGGCGAGTAAAGTCGGTGGATGATGATGGAGACTGATTTACCTGAACGCAGCACCATCACGTCCTATGTATAAACACTAATAAAACGACAAAGTGGAAGTTTGGGGACAAAGTAAAACTCGGTTCGCCGTAGTAATTAAAACGCAGTTCAGCAGAGGAAACTTGTTCGAGAATTTAGGAGATAACGATTTAAGTTTTTAAACACTGTATTTACACTCAATTTACAGTAATTTGCCCCCTTTTTTTGCGCACATTAGCGCTCGACTGGAATGCTAACCTCCGGGACATGAAACACTTGTAATTAAACTCATTGTGAGCCACAGGAAGCGGGACATTAAAGCTAAGTTTACCGCCTTTAAAATGCAGAGAAAAACTTTCTTGTCTAAACTGTGGTCCGCGGGGTGGATGTGGACACTTTGGACGGGGTGGACTTTCACAGTCAGGTGGCAGTTGACATTTCTTTGGACCCCCCCAAAAAATTTTCTGGATGGTAAAAATGTTGGGTTGCAATGGAAACCTAAGGGTTAAACGTTGTTTTCCCTTCCTTTAAAAAAAAACTAAGACAGATAGAGATGTAGACAGATGAAGATATAGATAGACAGATAGATAGATAAAGAGTGTTGTCTGTTCAGACAGCAAAGACCTCCCTTTATGACAGGGGTCCAAGTGGCCAGGCGCGTTCACCCTATTACCACAGTGCCCTGGTCCACACTGAAGCCCAAAATCTGCCCCGCTCACCTCTTCCAGTCCCCCCCCCTTCCCCCCACCCCCACCGGTGCCCAGCTCTTCCCCTCGGCTTTGCACTTGTTTGGTGAAACGCAGGACAGTGCCGTGCTGTCTGAGCGGTGGGAATGCTTCCTGCCTAAGTACTGAGCAGTTATTTGATGATGGTCCTTGTCGCACTTCCCTATGATTTCAGAGCCTTCAAAGAACGGCCCCTACGCGCAGGCCTAGCCTGCAGCCATAATGGTCACCATGTCACCGTGTCACCAGATTACGCAGGACTTACATCTCGCGTTATGGACAAGGCTCTTTATTTAAGCAGGTTATTGAGGTGTTCAGGTAACCAAACCTCCACAAATTGCAGAAGTTTAGATTCGAAAAAACCCGAGTCAAGCCGCTGGACGTGGTCATGTTTTTCGCAGAAATGTGTTTTGCGACGCGCCGGTGGAATACAAGGAAATAACAGTAGATAATTATCATAATTTTATCTGATGAGTTATTTTTCCAAAAACATTAAAAATGATATTGCTGATACACAATGTCCCCGGAAGACAACAGACTACACGTGTAACCAAGATGGAAAACAACAACAACAGCTTTTTCCTTTCACTCACTGCCTCTATTTTCTAATCACAACTATTGTGCTGCAGGCTCCGTGTTCCACCGTGTTAGTTTTTCTTGAGCTCTTTATGGCAGTCAAAGCTCTTTCCGCAGGGTGCCCTCTCCATCTAGCAGTGTACAGACACGTTTTCTCAGCCCCCCCCACGGACCCCCCCGGGTGCAGCCTCAGATGTGCATTCCAGCAGACAAAGCTAGCATTTTTAGAGTCCTCTACTGAATGTGATCCAAAAGGAACATCATCTAACCAAATCCTTTTTGCCGGACCTTTGTCCCCCAGAAAGTTTCCCATACTTTTTGTCATTCGCAATTTTTTGGGAATCCAGCAGAAGAAAAAAAAGCCAGTTTTGCAATAACTTCATCTTAAATTTAAAGGTGTCTTTCTTCAATTTCCTTTTTGTGCTTTAAGGAAATATTGAAAAAGTATAACATAGCCATGTGCGATAGTTAAAGAGGTTAGGTGAGAAGGTAAAGGAAGCTTTGAAAAACATGCCTGGGTGTATAAAAAGATTAGGTTTTTTTTTAGGAATGACAGTAGTATAAAGCCTTCTTGTTTTAAGCAGCAGTGTGGTGGAACTTAAAAGGAGAGAAAGGAAACTGTGTGGGTAAGACTGGGGGGGGGGGTAAACACACACATGCACACACACATAGAAATGCGTATATATATATATATAGAAACAGGAGACATTCTGGCTGAAGATATTCTTAGAGTCTCAGGGTGCTGCAGGTGAAAAAGGTCCATCTCCATTAAACAAGACAGTTGTACCTTTTAGCACTGACATAGAGACACTTTACAAGGTTGTCAGTGGTTCTTGGAAATGTGCTGCAGGGTTTGATTAGAAAATGTGACTTAAATAATGATGTTACGGGGAACTCCTAAAGTGATTTTCAACTCCGTACATGACGGATATAAAATTGATATCGTATATGTATCTCTGTAATGACATGTACAGCTCCTCCTTTTCTTGCAAGGTATATTTTAAAAAATGAACCAAGGTCCAAGTTTCTACGTTGTTCCAGAAGCCACTAGATGTCGCATGTTTGCACAGCCCTGAGGGCAAATTCACACCAGCTCATCACATGCACTTTTTGAAACAAACAAACCAATAACAAAAAAAAAACCAACCCCTGCACACACTCATTTGACCACCCTAATGGATTGTCCAGTATTTACGTTTTCTCAGCACCTCAGTGCAAGGGTCATTGTCTGGCCAAACTGCCAACATCTGGAACCTATGAGTCCCGGAGCTGGGAGTTTGCACTTAAAGCGACGCTGCAGGAGGTCACAATGAGCTCCTCAGTTCACTTTCCAAAATAAGTAGGTGGTTCATCCTTGCGAGCTCCAAAAAGGCCATGTTGACTTGTCACATTCCAAAGGAACAACACTTTGCTTTATATTATTTACTTTCCACCCCCCCCCCCCCCGCCCCCCCTCGCTCTAGAGAGAGAGTGTCGAGAAGGGACGGAGGTTTGTGTTTGAAAGACACGCAGTGAATTATTTTTCTAATTTTACACGAGGAGCAGTAGTTCTTCTGGACTCCGAACATGACTGGAGCGGTGTATGTCGGAGTAAAGCAGCATTTACGACACCGGTGATCTCCGTCAACCTCAGAACGAACGCATGCTTCGAGCAAGTTCATACTCCAGCCGCATAGATTCGTGTTGGAACAGAGACTTGGTCCCCAAACCAAATGCTTCACTCAGTGGAACAGTGAAACACAAGCACAATGTTTTCCTTTCACTGACACGGCTATGATTAACACTTGACAATGTCAAAATGTGATCAATTGTCAGATTTATTTCATGGCACTCCTAGTAAAAGTTGAGGTGTTTTAATGGAAACGGTGATTTTAGCCTGCACCTGACACAAATGTGATCTTACAATGCCTGGACTTCTAACGTCAGATTCTGAAAGAAAGGAGCGATTGAAAAAAACTAGGGATAGTTCGATCCGATACTAAGTATCGGTATCGGTCTGATATTGGTCAACAATTTAGCGCGGCAAAGTTACACTATCGCCTCAGCAACAGCTACCCACGGCATGCTGGACAAGAAAAGAAGGCATTGTTTTGATATCGGTATTGGCAGATACTGCAAGTTGCAGTATCGATATCGGACACGAAACAGTTGTATGGAGCCATCCTTACTAAAAACCCAAATACAACCCAAATACATACATCAATTTAAGTATTCATATATAGAGGTCCCTACGGAGTCTCTGTTAGTGCAGCTGTTACGCCCTGCCCCATGTGTTGATTCACCTTGTAGTACAAGATTTGCTGCTTTAAGTGCATAACTCAAAGGAAGGCGAAACGTTTCATCCGCTAGAGCGGGCCATACTTTTGCCTTTGAAGGCCAGTACTTTCACATGGAGTACAACGATTGCATCCCACAAGACACGTATGAGTTAGTACAAAATACAAAATACAAATATAAGAACTTACTTGAGACAAATTCTAATTTCCTCGTGTGGAAAAATGTTGATTTTATGTGACGTACACCAAGTATCCTGCCACGTAAGTCATGTTTGATGTTGTCACGTGTCGTGGTTATCTCAGCAAAGAGCCCCTGAAATGTCGGCAAAGTTACTTATCTGATTTTTTTATTTTTTCAGCAGAACCAGTGGACATCCTGAAAGTATTACCATTTCAAAATCTCCCCGAAGGAGTAACAAAAACATCAGGATTTTGCACAAACCGAAGAGCTTCACAGCCTGACTCAGCATACAGAATTTCCCAGCAGGCCCAGCTTAGTGTCCCCACCAGCCATTTATTCCCTGGTAAGTCGAAAAACTCTTGGTTTTTAACCTGGTATGTGACCCCTAACATTACAGGAAGTGAAATTGTTTCAGTCTTTTTCATCCTACATCACTTGTTTGTTTGTTTTTTTTTTTGCAGAAAATGTTTTCCCCGAGGACTTCTCCATCCTGACCACAGTGCGTCCCAAGGCTGGCCTACAGTCTTTTTTGCTGTCCATATATAACGGCCAAGGGGTGCAGCAGCTAGGTGTCGAACTGGGACGCTCGCCCGTCTTCCTCTATGAGGATCAGACTGGCAAACCTGACCCAGAGGACTACCCTCTGTTCAATAACCTCAACCTGGCTGATGGAAGGTACTGTATGTCAGATCATATACATGTCAAATCTGGTATTTAGACCCCGGGTTTCTTATTGTTATTAGTAAAAGTATATTAGAAAATATTCATATTTCATGAAATATCATTTGAAAAAACTTCACCAACATGAAGTTTTTGTGACGTTTCAAAATTCATCAAGCGGGCCAGATTGAGCCCCCTAGCGGGCCTGGTTTTGGTCCGCTGGCCGTATGTTTGACACACCTGATTTAGACACCCAAATGCAGCAGCTGGAAAAACATTCCTGTGATCAGGTCATCCAGATCTGTGACTTTCAACCGGTGGGTCACGATCCAAAAGTGGGTTTTCAAAAGTCAGCATGTGAAAGGGTAGGTCCAAACTGCGTCAGTTTTCCATTCAGTAAATCTGAGAAGCTGAAAAATCTCCTTGATTGGATCACGGCAGGTCATTACGAACGATGGCGGTCCCAACAGTTGAGAACCACTGATCTCGATAACTGCATTTTGTAAGCTCTAGTTGAAGTAGTTTGGATACTGACTCAAAAACTGCTGCTCTTAAATGGTTCTAAACTGTAACTACATCTTTCTTCTTCTCTTATTAAATTTGTCGAAGGGATTTTAACGTCAATTTCGACTGTTTTGGACCTTACCACCGCTACACCGCAGGTGCTTATCACCGGATTTTTCCATTAGCTTAGGGGTCTGTGCACACAGAGACAGGTCAGAGACTGGGAGACACTGAATTGTTGGTGCACAGCAGGAACTGCTATGGGCAACCTGACCTAATCCATGAACTCACTGCCTCTGTTATTTTAGAGAGGGGGCAAGCGAGGAGAAGGAAAGGGCCGCCCGAAACTTCCCTTTTAGCTAACCTTTCAACAGAAAAGCTTATTACACTCGCTGGAGTTCTTGCTCCAAGCTCGAGCTCAGTTAGTATTTTACTGTAATTACCAGGGTGTGGAAGTCTTCTTGTTGACAGTGTAACCAAATATATGCACTAAATAGGAGAGAAGGTAGGATTGCAGCCCATTTTGGAAACCTCTGGACTAAAGCAACAAAGCCCCCAAAGTGTCTGAGCTGATAGTAAAAATATTAAGATAATACATTGAAGTGTAAGTGTAAGAAATGCACGTCTAAGAGAAGTGGTTACGTGCTACGTATATATAAAATGCACGTCTAAGAGAAGTGGTTACGCGCTACGATGTACGTATGTATATATGGTCGGTCAGCAATGTACCGTATGGCGCAGAGCTCAGTTCTTCCATTAGCCGTACACCCTCCAAGTGCCGGAGCGTGAAACGTTAAATTGAACAGCGATTTCAACACATAACCTGCCAGTTTGAAAAAAAAAAAAAAAAAAAAAATTCACCTGTCTGTGCTTTTAGCAATGTCCTTCAAGCAAGGGTTAACTTAGCTTAATCTGCTAATCCTAACCCTTATCCACTGTTTTACCTGTGCAGCTGTGGCTCAACGTGCTTTGAGTTGCACCAGAGCCACTTTCTGTCTCGTAAAATATTATAGATTTACGTTACTTAAAAAAAAAAAAAAAAAAAATTAGAAGTAAATTACTGCAAACTTTACGCTCAAACTTCATGGGATGCGTCTTCGTTGTCGTCTAATTTTTACCACCTCACCTGGACTGTCTTTATCAATATGTGCTGGGAAAACACAATACATATACTTTATATATATATGTATATATATCAAATGTGCAATATTCTTCCAGATCTATTGGCAATGTAACAGTATTGACCCCGCATCTCCTCCCGCTTTGGCACGTTAGGCTTTCCTGGACCCTGAGACACACTTTCCACAATGTTCACCGTGTCTGTCATGCCGAGTAACCCAGGAGGATTAAGTTTAGAGTTTAATGAGTGTAATCCCATGTTAAACAGGGCCAGCGTGTAGGGGCAAGAATGCGGCGCACTGCTGCCTGGTATGCAGGCGTACTACCTCAAGTGCAGTGGCAAGGCGAAGGAGGTGTCGCACTCACGTGTGGTCACTGTTAACCCCTTTACATTTGTGATAGCTGTTTTTAAAGCCACTTTCTGTTATAAATGTTATATTTGAAACTCACAACGTGTAATAAACCCGTAATTGTTTTTCTATTTTTTTTTCCTGTCCCTGTCCAGGTGGCACCGCGTGGCCATCAGCGTAGAGAAGAAGATGGTCACTATTATCGTTGACTGTAAAAAGAAGATCACCAAGCCTCTCCTCAGGAGTGACTCAGGTTCTATCGAAACCAACGGAATCACCGTCTTTGGCCGCAGGGTTGTTGACGGCGAGGTTTTCCAGGTAAACTTGAAGTGGACCCTATTGCTTTGTCTCTTTTCGTCATGTCTGTTTGAAAAAACAGAGACACATTCTAGCTCTGTAATGACCTACGTTATGTTTTTTACAGCGCTGGTTCTAAACTCATGGCTCGGGGGCCACTTTAGGCCACGAATCACCCTAATCTGGCCTGTGAAATATTTATTTTTATTTTAATAGCTTTTTTTTAATGACAAAATAAAGCATTAAAAAAAAGGTTTGATTGAAAACTATAAACTATAGGTTTTCGTCCGATACAAAACCTAAGCCCAAACGCTCAACTTAACTTTTTTTTTTTAACTTCAATACAGCTGGGCTAGCTGTTTGTACTGTCTGTTTGTATATATCTCAAACAGAACCAGCGTTTATACTGAACATCGAACACAGATGTCCGCAGCCGTGTCCCTCAGCTCCGTGTTTTGGGTTTGAGTCCCTTTAGCTTTAAAGTGACCACGTTGTAGTCACTGCATAATTCTACTCCAAATTCTTTCACTTGTTGGATTAAACTTTAAGTACCGTAAAGGCAGCGTTCACATCCTTTGATGCTGCCTACAGGAATGTCGATATAATAGAAACCAGGGAGGATCTGGTGCTCTGGAGTTGCTTTGATTTTCATACATACATACATCAAACACATGTACTGCGTGCGCGCATGTGTGTGTGTGTCCCACGTTGGACACCGGCCTGTAGTATTTTGTGTTCATGATATCACACATCATGACATCTGTTGAGGATAGACGGACTGTTTTGTATTACATTTGTTCGGTCCAAACAAAGTTAAGACACGAGAATAATTATCGTGGAGCCCACGAGCAATACTTAATGCTGTGAGGTGTCGTATCTTTTCTGTTACAAACTCAGTCTGTCGGACATCTTTGTATGGAAAACCGATAAAGGAGAGTTGCCATTGGACAATTACTTTACACTAGGTTGTCTGCGTGCTAAGGACACAGTCCATCGTCTCTATAAAATCTGCAAATACTAACAGACCTACGAGCCTCAACAGCTACGTTTTTACAGGGTGGGTTTGTGATCGTCAGACGTTTGAGCTAGCGGTGCTTCTGTTTAGAGGTAACATATCTTCGTACTATAAGTCGCACCAGCCAAAAAAATTCATAAAGAAGAAGAAAAAAACCATATATAAGTCGCTGCGGAGTATAAGTCGCACCAGTGCCCTCTGGTGCCTGCCATTGTTAAAAAAAATAACAAAACGTGAAATTTTAAATATATAAGTCGCACCTGAGTATAAGTCGCAAACCCAGTCAAAGGATGTAGAAAGTGCGACTTCTGGTCCGGAAAATACGGTACATGCTAGCATTGGCTCAGGATGCGGTTGATAATCAGAGGTAAAGGTCACGGAGAGGTGACTCGCGTTCTGCACATTGATGGTTTCAACGTGTCGACATGTTTGGCCGACTGACGCTGCTGCTCTTGTCTCGAAGAACTACTTGTGTTTCTTGGCATGCTTTGTCAAATCTATGGCAACAAAGCATCCTGCACATTAACGTTAACGTTAATTTTTTTTTTGCTAGTCCACACATGATGTTGATTTCCTGCATATTTGTCTCAGACTTTGTCTCTCTCTCTCTTCACGCTAATTTGGAGTCGTTCGGTTTAGGAGTTCGCCGCTGGTGGAGACGAGGACGTCCGTGTATGAAACTGTGTGTTCAATCACAATTCAAATGACTGCAAATAGCTATAAGTCGGCTAACAGGGTCTTCTCTGTGTGGTTTTTTGGGAACATGTCTCCCGTCTGTTCTCTGTCTGTGCCCCCTTCAGAGATCCATAGGGACCGTTGCATGCTGGGATACACGGGGGGGAAGGAAATACCTCGGCTGTGTGCGTTCTAGTTTGTTTAAGTGAAGGGGACCTTGTTGCTATATTTGTTGATTTGTTTAGTTAAAATAGAGGAGTCTAAAGTAAAAGGCTTTTATAATGATGCTAGGGAACTCTATTTTGGCGAAATGGTATTTTCTATTTCTAAGCCAAGATTCGTAAGGAATTCAGTACTAATTAAATGGTGTTTTGGGTTTTTTTTTTTTTTTTTTTTTTTTTTTTTTTTAGAAGCTAAATTATTTTTCGTCCCACTCGTTGACTTGGCATTTTTCATAAAAGTCTATTCATGCCGTACCTGCTTCAGGTCTGAGGCGCACCATCACCGCAAAAGGATCTGGTTTGGATGAATGGGAGTCTTTCATTGCCCTGTCAGACCTTCCTCATTTCCTCATCTCCTCCCCTCCCTGCATATTTTCCCTGAGCCCTCCCCATCCTGAGGCCTCCCCACTGTGTAAAGTCATGAGACTGTCTATTCATGCCTGGCTGACTTTACCTGTCGACTACACACACACACACACACACACACATTTATCCATCTTTTGATGGCTTGTGAAAAGTCACCAGAGCTCAGGTAGACCCAGCTGAGGGTCCTGGTGGTGCTGAGGTCGTCCTCTGGGTCATTTTTTTTCCTCCTGTAAAATACATTTTGAAATATAGTTTTGGTTGTAAGCTGCTGTTTACAGACTTCAGCTTCATTTTTTAAAAGCAAAAAACCCCCCCAGGAAACTATATTTCAAGGAAGATTTAAGTATAAGTATTTTCAGTTATTTGTTGCTAACATGCTATGTTAGCTTTTTGTGTCTGAATATATCTTTCACTTTTTGGATTTTCTTACAATCCAAATCTATTCTTTAACAGTGCAAGGTTCAAATCCCTTTCTGTGCCGGACCACCGTCATGTACAGACACTGGGGGAGTGGCTAATTGTTGTGTTTGGCTGTCTAATTACAGTCAGCCATGGTTGGACTAAAGGTATACTCCCTGGGGGGAAGGTATGTCAAAGGACCCATGGTGATGAATAGCTGTGTTTTGATTAAGCCAGCGATGCCCTGCACTCACCCTGTCATTATGCCATGCAGTTAGATTTTAGACAAGACCCAAAAAAAAACAAAAAAAACTGGCAGCGTGTATGTTGTTTCATGCAGATTTAGGAGAGAGATTTGTTAGCATGCATTGTAATCTCTGCTCTTATTACGTTTTGCGAACGCCACGAAGAATTACACTATGGATTTAGAAGGCAGTAACCCCTGAGGAGATTTCAACAAGCCTCAGCTGTTGGTCTTGACCCAGCTTCTCTCTTTCAACCTCTCTCAGCTCTTTGACCCCTGACATCACAGTCATAAACACACAAAGTTGCAGCTCTGCATGGCTGTGCACTGCAGTGTGGTGGTATGCTGTAGTAGAAGAAAAAAAAAAAGCCCAGCTAGCATGTCGGGCTAGGTTGCCAGAGGTTTTTAATTTAGCAGATAAGCATCAGCGTACATCCACCCAGGCGTTTCCCACTTCGAAAGGCCTTTGACCATCCAAGATGCCCTGCCTGTCTCACCCCTGGTGCTTCTATAACCCAGAATGCCACTCCATGGTCTTGCTTACCATATTTTTTTCCGCACTTTTTTTTCCATCCTTTGGCTGAGTTTGCGACTTATATATTTAAATTTATGATTTCACGTTTGTTATTTTCACACTGACAGCCGCTAGAGGGCACTCTAGGCTCGTGTGCCCGGTATCTGCTACTCCTGTAGCACCGAAAATGTACATGTTCGTTAATTTCACACTGACAGCCGCCTGAGGGCACTGGTGCGACTTATACCAGGGTAACGTTTATTGAACTTGGAATGACGTTTGTTAATCACGCTAACAGGTAGACGCGGACCTTTACGATCATTTAATTCATGACAATTTGCAAGGTTTAACAGGTCCATGTAGATCTGGTACATTAGGCCAGTGTTTTTCAACCTTGGGGTCGCGACCCCAGATGTGGCCTTTTTTTAATTTACGATTAAAAACACCACACATAACCTTAAACAACAACCAAACTAAAAATATATGACCTGGAGCATCTTGATTGACAGCTGCGATCACGTGACTGAAAAAAAAATATCGCCGGAGATTTGTAATGTCAAAACACATGCATTCGGCTTCAATTTTTCAAACGAAAGATGATGCTTGTTTGCTACACACACACCGACACAGACTTAAAAGGTAATGTCTGCACAGTTGAAGTACAGGTGACACGTTTTTTCCTGTAAAGTGTTTTGCCACCGGTCTGATGTAATCTGGGCTGGGAGTCCCGTCTCTTTAGACCGTCTGGGTGCAGACGCTTGTGGCTCTCAGATGGGAACTAATTAGAACTAACTCCACGCAGGGTTCCGAGCGTTCATCGCCGGGCGCTGGGTGATACGTGACGTAATGTGTTTCTTTGCAGCTGTTGTGCCTACGTAAACATACAAACATACAGGGGCTTTTCGGAGACCTGCTGCCTTCTGTTATTTAATGCGCTGTCATTAGAAAGAGCAATAATATACAGTGCAATGGAGAAAGAAAAAAATTGAACACAGTGCTATTACTGAATTTCATGTATTTGGTATTCGTATTGGTATATACACAGAGGCACGCTACAATTGATGAGTATGATAGTCACAATATGACGCTTCAGGGAAATCTTTTTAAAACAACCTCAGAGGAAGGAAAAAACACACACGCGCATTCTCTCGACAAGTCGGAGCCTGCTGGATTTTCGCCTCTCGTTTTACTACCAGTCAATGTATGGTGCCCCCAGTGACATCACTGAAGTAGGATTTTCACCTGTGGCGGCAAGAAACTCCGTGCGCCTTAACCAGAGACATGCCTGTTCACCGACCTCACGGGAGTGTCCCTCAACTGTCTAATTAGTTTGTATGAATACTCAAAAGACAACAAGCAATTACAGGCTCCGAAAAAAAAAGAAAAAAAAAAGAAATCCAGATTTTTTTTCAGTATATTTGCTTTCTTGCTAGGAAGAAACCGGCGGGAAGGGTTGTAGTCTTTTTTTTTTTGTTTTTTTTTTCGATGTCCGACCTTGAAATTTTGACCAATATCGAACCGATTCCGATCCTGAGTATCGGATCGAGCGATCCCTGGTTTGATTGGTTGTTGGTCTCTTAAGGTCACAATGATGTTAATAATGATGCATATATAAAAACGGAGCCTTTTTTCTCAAGAACCTTTGTGGTTTTTTTTTTCAGCCAGGTCTACTCACGAGACTCTTTATGTTCTTCTTTGTGTCTGCACAACATGTTTAATACTCTATATTTGTGATAAGCAACATAAGCCTGTAATTCAGTCTTATCGCTGCATAATAGGAATGAATTTGATTCGTGCCCAGTAGCGACACGTGTTAATTTTTTTATTTTTTTCCCATATCCTGTGGTAAAACTCTGCACAGATAACAGTAATTTTCCCCAGTGTTGCTGTTTAATCCAACAAAGGGGTGGGTTTACCGAGCGAGACTCCGTAACTGCAGGTCACTCTGTAATTTGAGATTTGGATTAACGCAGCCTTTGCCCGGCATGTGCGAGCAAGACGAGACACGGCCTTTGTGGCAGCGCGTTTGTTTGTTTAGCCTCGTCTCGTCTGTTGCCAGCGATCTTGTTTTATCGGCTCTTGGATTACGAGCTTGCCGTTTTATTGGCTTTCGGTACAAGCCGCGCAACACTGTCGCGTTTTTTTTTAGGGACTGCTTGTGGTATAAACGTTTCCTTTTAACACTAATCACTGCCTTTTCGCTTATTCTCTTAGCCATATATTTGCCAGCAATTACAGCTCAAAGACCCTGATTCGTATAATGTTGACGTTTATTTTGTACGCAGAGACAATGAATCAAAGTTGGGTTTGCTTTATCTTTTTTTTTTCCCCTGCAGGGTGACATCCAGCAGCTTCTCGTTGTGGCTGAGCCCCAAGCTGCGTACGACTACTGTGAACACTACAGCCCCGACTGTGACACCCCGCACAAGGATTCGCTGCAGGCCCAGGAGCCGGAGTATGAGGTCAGTTGTCTAAAGAGAGTACGGTTGGGGTTTTAGCGTCGATCGTATCAATCGTAACGCCGCGAATAGCTGGAATTGTAAAGCTTTTGCGTGTCTGTTCTTGCTTTAAATCCCAATTTAGCAAAGGTGTTTTTTTTTAGGGGAGGTTTTGAACTGATGTACATGAAGGATTTCAGGGAGTCATTTGTTGGAATTCCGGTGTTTACTTTAGAGGGCCTTGAAGATTCAGGAGTTATCTGGGGGGGGGTTTATATTTTGGGGAAATCTGTCAGCCACTTCCAACGTTCAACGTTGCTACCAGTGTAATTATACGTATTTCCAAAAAAACGAATAATACCTATTACGGGCTAAAAATGTTGGTAAATGTTAGACTCTTTAATTGATATTTCAAATCAAATGATGTGTAATACATACAAAAAAAATATATACTCTACACTTCACCGACAGATTTTACACAAAAGGTTACACTAGGTTTAGATCGGGCCGCAATCATGTCACCCAAAAGGTTACACTAGGTTTAGATCGGGACTGATGTCAGAGCAGTGATCTGCGAAGGTGGCATCATGTGAATGCTCAGAAGTCAAGACAAGGAGAAAGTCCTGAGAAGGATGACTTATTCCATCTATCTTTATCCCTTCCTTCTAAATACCACTTCACCACCCTAATAAGTCTAACTATCTGACTCACTTTTCTTTTAGTGTGACTTAGAAACCTATGAATTCACTCTCCCTGCAGGCTAATTCAAAGGTTATTCAAAGGCAATTACTTTTTTTTCAAAGGTTATTCAAAGGCAATTACTTTTCCCCCCCCCCCAATTGTTAAAAGTATTACGGGCACACGGTAAGTCATATTTTTCATTGGCTATCGGACGGCTGCTCCTGTTTAACCTTTAACCCCCATCAGGCAATCCCAGTGGGCTACCGCAAAGGTAGCGTCAACCAATACTGCGTGCGTCCCCTATCTGGGTGTTACAGTACTCCTCGTCTAATGGTCAGTTTCAAATTGAGTAATGACCCGGATGTAAACAACGTGCCGCGTCTTCTCCGCCGCACTTTGTTTACGCCAGACGCCTTTCATCTCGGCTGAAACCTTTTGAGACCCGAAGGTGTGTAATTTACATGCTTGCAGTGAGAAAGTTCCATTACGATATCCCCCCTCGAAACGCAGCTGGTAATTTTGCCTCTGAGGTTTCTCCCTGTTGTGTTTCTCCGCTTTATGAGCTTTTAAACTTCCCATCTGTTCAGCTGTTTGCAGGCGACCCGCATGTCTTGTTCGAACATGTGTTCGCTCGCTGGTTCGCCATATTCAGACCACTGTCTGGCTCAGTCACACGTGGTTTGAATTCGCCGTGAGGTGATGATGGCGTGCAGTTCGTCATCATCGTTGCCGACACGTTGCTAACTCGTAGGTGTTTAGCAAACGGTCCGTTCCGTTGCATATTAGCATAGCACGTATGCTACGTTAGGCCTGCGTTATCAGTAACCCCGTCACGGTTGCTTAAGAAGAAGCGCCGTGTTTTAACGCTCGACTGAAGGATGCTCTGCATCCTCGATGCTAACGCTAACGCTGACACCTCTCGTGGTGCTTCTCTCTCTCTCTCTCTCTCTCTCTCTCTCTCTCTCCTCTTTCTCTGTCTGTGAACTTCTGCAGTACAATACTGATGATGTAGATTACACTCCATTCTATGATTACTCTGACGGAGCCACAGACACCGTTCCAACCGATGAGCATTATGAGCCACAGGTAATTGAAAAAAGGGAAAGGGGGAAAAAAGGGGGCGGGGCATGTTACCTGTTATGTGTCTTCGTCCTTCATCGTTATGTGTCTCTGTGTCCTTCATCGTTACTCCTGTTACAGTGTCACAGTGCAGTATTGGGTGTGCATGTAAACAGTCCTACTCCTTGTGTCTTTTATTCCGGGTGTGCATGTAAACAGTCCTACTCCTCCTTGTGTCTTTTATTCTAGCAAATTCCGTCCACCTTTTGTGTATGTTTTTTTTTTTTTTTTGCATTTTAGCATGCCTTTGTAAACTTCTGTTTCAGTTGTTGTTAAAATTGGACTCTGCATAACGGGGGAATGTAACGAAATCAAGCTAATAAGGGCTAGCCGTAGCGCTAGTTCTGCTGTGTTTTTCGTGATTTCATCAGTCCCGCGCTGACGTGTGTGTGCATTATATCCCAAAATGTCTGTGTGTGTCAAATGGAAGGCCCAGTCTTGACTGTTGTACAACACCCTTTCCACCCAACTGTGACGTAACATCTTGAGTTAATACGACCACCATTTTCAATTTCAGCCCCATGTAGCATGTATGTTAGCCGCTAGCAGAAAGCCAATCCCACAGCCTCCGACGGTTGGGTCGGTAAAGATACTGCGCAAACGTCACAGACTGTGCCTTTTAAATCACCTTTTCCACTTTTGAATGTTCCGTGTTCTTTTTTTTTTTCTTCTTCCTTCTTGGTGTTTTCTTGTCGCCGCCACTTCTTGCAGAGAAAGAAACGTAGTGTCTCCGAGAAAACGAAGAGGACCAGAAAGTCCCTCAGTAAAACTAAGGCCAAGCCCCTTAGGTTTCTGGCAGCCAAAAAATCACCAGCTAAAAAGTTTCCCGCTAAGAAGAAACGACAGATGCCTGGCTACCAGGCCACAGCGCCAGCGCGACCCAGAGGAAATTTTAGGGTAAACATACCTGAGCAAAAAAAAAAAAAAAAAAAGGCAACATCCCATCAAGATCTTCCTTTTCCCCAATTTGTGAAAATCTGTGATGGCGGATCTAGAACTCCCTAACCTAGAAGTAGCACAGTCGGTAGAGCGCTTATGAGGAGGGCTAGCAAACAACCTTGGTATGACCCTCTTCAACTTTTTGTTTTTTTTTTTTTTCTTTTTTTTTTTTTTTTTTTTTTTTTTTTCAATATGACTCAGCCAAACAATGTAGAAGGAGATTACGGTATTGACTACGGAACTGTAGATGAAATTCTCACTGATTCCTTTGCCACCAGTGGACCCTTGGAGGTAATTCTGATTATTTCATTCTCATCTGCTCTTAGCTCTAAGTGTTGGGATGTTTTTACTGGAAATATAACCTGGGGAAAAAGGATTTTACCCATGAAGACTTGGTAAAAAGAAAAAGAAAAAAAAAGACACAATCATTCAAGTGAAATGATGTGTTTTTGATCTTTGAAGTTTTTGGTGTGGGCAAAGGAAGTTTTTTTTGTTTTTTTTTTTTGCTTAGAAATAATGAGTTGGACACAGTGGAGGTCTGTGAAAGCTTCATGTTGACATTCAGACGTCGCCGCGGCTACAGCTAGCCCCCAGCATGCGTTCAAGAAAACGTTAGAGTTGGACTTTTAAGGCCGATACAACAGATGCTACCTCGACACTTTAAGGCTATCTGCGACGATCGTACAGTGAATGACGTCGCGATTCGTCATTCATTAAGACTACAAAAAAAACAAAAACAAAACAACATGTGGCTTTGACAGCGTCCAACTCCTCCCGGGCTTTTAGCGAGTTCCTTTTTTGCGGCCCTTTGAAAATGTGTTGGTTTCCCCCAGTAACAACTGCTTTTTACTACACTCCATTTAGAATGGATGTTGGCAAGACACACAACCCCCGCAAGGTGGTGGTGATGTCACTGTCTCTCAATACAGCGATACAAGCGACTGTCAGTGTGAAATGACTCCCTCCTGATGTCACATGATCACTAGTTCTGGTTAATACCTCGGGAAGAACTGTGATCAACCGTGTGTGAACATTTGTTATTCACTGCGGTTGCCATCGACAAGCAAATGCAACCACGCAGACGGCGGAACGGGCAATGCGACGAATGCAAATCGTCATCATAAAAAAAAAAAAAAAAAAATGAAACGTCCGTCCGCCGCCAGCGCATTCTGCGTGATTGCATCTATTCTGTCGCTATCCGATGCTACACAGTGCTTCGGTGAATTGTCTGTGGCCAAATTGACCAAATCGGACGGTATCGTGACGCACTCTTCTGCTGTAACCCTTCGGGCCCAGATTGCTTTTATTTGCCATTTCAGATGCTTGTTTCAGCCTTCTCTGCTCCAAGAGTGAGCGGAAGGGCTGAAATAACCGAAAGACTGTCCTCGTTTAAATCAATAACCTGCTTATGATTTTCTAATACTTGTCATTTTGGTAACACTTTTAATGTCTTTACGTCGTGCTACAAATGAACCTAAAAAAACATACAGTAACATATAAAAGTGTTACCATTCACCTTTTTTCCGACTTCCGGCTGCTTAACTAATATCTATATTTCCTCTGTTGCTCACCAAACGCTACCGCCCTTTGTTCCTGGGGGTTAACTCTTGAAAGGCTGCGGAGGAGGAGGAGGAGGAGGTCACCGGTGCCTCCGTCACCGAGGACGCTCCGATTGCCCCGGAGCCCACCGCTGTCCGGGAAACCTCGGACAACTTGGACACCGGTGCGGAGTCATACGACTTTAAGGAGTATGACCTTAAAGAGTATGACTTGGGCGGCGTTGACAGCAAGTTGTATGACTATGGGGCGTACGATGAGTATGGCACAGCCCAGCCCAGGCCCTCGGAGGCCTACGATGATGAGGTGGGGCCCGGGGTTGCCGCGGAAACCGACGTTTCGGAGAGCACCGTAAGTATCACGCCCCCTGACACGCCAACTAGCAGCAGGGTGTGTGCATGAAAATACCGCGTCATGGAGTCTGGGGCTACGCCTTGCTAGCTGGTTGCTCGTCATTGGGTACACGTGGAGTTCGGTAAATGCATTGTTTGGAATCGATGACCTCATACCTGACAGCTGAGATAAAGCCGTTGCATGCCTCTGGGTGTAAACTAATTATTTTCCAATTTCCTACCTCTTTATTTATTTTTTTTTTTTTTATTTTTTCTTTCTTAAACTGTTCAGTGTGTGTACAAGCACAGAAAGGTTCTAACTCGCAGTATGAGGATACTGAGAAAAATACGACTGGGTTGAGTATCGGTTCGATCAGTGTTTCCCAAAAATTTTTTTTTTCTGGGGACCCATATTTTAAAGGTCAAACGATGCGAGACAACCCACCCCCCCCAAAAAAAAATTCTTACGACCCACCTGAGGGTCGCGACCCAGTCTTTGGGAAACAATGGCTTCCCATTGTGACCGAAATATTTCAAGTAAAAAAATGTACAAGAATAAATCTGAACTTTCAAAGATAATTTGGCACATCAGACGTCTGCTGCCACTTAGTGGCATCGACCGTAATCGCACTTGATTTGTTTGTAATGATTGAAACAGAAGGATTGACATCAGTCTTTACAGTGTTCGGTGGGCCGGATTAGAAAGCCCCGGCGGGCCGTATCTGGCCCACGAGCCGTAGTTTGCATTTGGGTATGGCTAGGTTTAAGTGTCTTTCTATGAACTCAGCACTTGTTTACCCACATTTACAGTATCAGCGCACAGGAGCGACGACCACAGGTGGGCGCCGCTTCTGATTTTTTTTTTTCCACGACATGGCTCTTTTTGGTCTTGCTCGTCGTAGAGTCGCACTTGTAAGTTATTGTGGGATTTGCATGACAACAACGATCTCTGTGTGTGTGTGTGATGACAATACGCACAGTGACAACGTGACCATATCACTAACATTAGCTCGGTCTGATCTGTACCGTTGCCTCACTGTGTGTAACTCCTCCAGACTCTTTCCTCCTCTGACGTAGACGCCGCACTAGTCAAATCCCTTCATACCTAATTGGTCGGTGTACGTGATGTGTGAAGAATGCCACCTCTCTGCTCGCTTTGTAACTGCAGGTGGCCGGCGCTGAAGGAGTCTTGGGCCAGAAAGGAGAGAAGGGGGACCCGGCTGTGATCGAACCAGTAAGACCCTCGGCAAAAAAATCTTTAACCCCTTCGTCAGTACAGAGTGAACAGTGATCTCTGGTATACGTTGTACATTATTCATAGCTGCTGCTGAATAATTCATAAAAAAAAAAAAACAAAAACTTAAATACTCGTCCAGTACCTCAAAGGGGAGTACTGTAAGTACTCTGAGAGCGCTGATGTTAAATGAAACTCAGCAAATGTTTATCTGACTATTTTAACATTTGGAGTTCACACTGTGACTTATGTAAATATTTTTAAAAAAAAATAGACAACATTCAAGTTCCGCGTCCTCATGTCTCTACGTTTCCATACAGCCATATCAAAAGCCGCGTGAATTCCTCCACTTCCACTCCTGCTGCTGATTCCCACTGATTCCCTCCTCATGTCTCTACGTTTCCATACAGCTCATATCAAAAGCCGCGTAAATTCCTCCACTTCCACTCCCGGCGCGTTGACTTCTACTAAGCCGCTGATTTCCCACTGAATTCATGTTGTGCGTGTTTGTTTTTCTCGAAGGGCATGCTGATTGAAGGCCCACCAGGACCACCCGGACCAGCTGTGAGTTTATTGATTTAACCCCAGGCATTATTCCTTCACTATTGCATTCACAAATAAATCAACTGATTTATTTACCGCTCTTTTTTTTTTTTTTAGGGTCTCCCAGGTCCCTCGGGCCTACAAGGACCCCCAGGTACTTCAGGAGATCCTGGCGAGAGGGTAAGGTCACCATTGATTTCCTGGCAAACTAGCCTTATACTGTACACCGTCATGTGGCTGTTGGAGGGTTGTGGGTTTGATTCCGGGCTCGGTAGGTTATATTGACTTTATAAACTCGGGATCAATCTTAAAACAAACAGGACGTTTAAGGATACTTACGTATTACTTTAACAAGTATTTAAGTAAAGTGATACGTGAGGTTACGGTATGACGTGCAGATGTTTGGGAGTAAAATATCAATACGTTGGAGTTAACTGGTTTCGAAAAAAAAAGACTTCACTCAGTTAGCTAACCTGCTGGAATGCATCTGAAAATGGTGGTAGAGCCGACAAATTTACGTGCGAAAGACATAAAATACCTCAACGGATCTTCTTGAATAAACGAAATAAATATCAAAAATATCAAATAGCAATCCAGAGTTTGTATTTTGCGCACATGCCCAAGGGTGTCGGGTGTTTCGACAAAAGTATCATGTGAATTGGATACTTATATCCAATATAATGTAATGTAATACCAAAACGACAAATCAATTTTTTTTTTGCGATTTTCACCTTCCACATTTATGCCTCAGTAAATATAAAAGTAGCCTAAACAGCTGATCATATTTGGGATTGCATTCAGTGACAATTTCTTCTTTTGCTCGTAGTCTCTCTCTCTCTCTCTCTCTCTCGGCCTCCACAAACACACACACACACACACTCGAATACACAGAAAGAGATTGAGAACCGTGGGCACCAGGATTCATACAGAGGGATGTTGGTTTTGGACCGCAGACAGGCGTGTGGTTTACAGCAGGACAGGCTCGGTCCTTGTGCACCGGGGACGGAGCAGCACATTGTGATGAATGGAACTGATGTCTCAAGCAGTCGGCGCTGCGTGGCCTGTGTGTGTGTGGTTGTGTTTACGTTTCCTTCAACATCAACTCAACAGGATTACGAGAGACAGTTTCGCTCGTTTGTCCGTCTACGTCGAGATCGAATGTTATTTTTAGGTCAAAGGTCACGCGTTGGATGACCTACAGAGAACCTTGCGGGGTCATAATTTCTCCTCTAAAACACGTGGGGAACTTCTTTACCGAAGTCCGTCTTTAAATCGATTGGGACAGTGATCATCAACCGATGGCCCGCGGGTCAAATCCGGTCCGTCAGAGCGTCCAAATCGGTCCCGAAATAAATAATGTTGAACTAAAATGTAAATTTTATGTGAGTGTCCAGTCCAGAAAAACATAGTCAAATATGTCATCTCTGTGTTCCAGGGTCCTCCCGGTCGTGCTGGCCTGCCCGGTGCCGACGGTTTACCAGGGCCTCCTGGTACCATGCTGATGTTGCCAGTAAGTGCAGGAATTCAGCTCGGGAGTAGCAAAACAAGTTAAAAGATTTGCTTTCAAATATTAAGTGTTTTTCTCCTTTTAACCAACAGTTCCGTTTCGGTGGCGACGGTGAGAAAGGTCCAGCGGTGTCTGCCCAAGAAGCCCAAGCTCAGGCCATCCTCTCTCAGGCCAGAGTAAGTAGACGAGGTCATTAAACAAGTCCCCGGGAAGTCAACCCCTCCCCAGCTCTAGCCCACCCCCTCCCACTCCCACTCCTTGCTCAGCTGCATGCACACACAGCTGTNATTTTACTGTGGAAGTAAAGTAAGAGGGGCGGGGGAGGGAGGGGAACGCTATCCTTCACCGGCCCTACTGAGGCTAAAAGGAGAAATGCCGACAGGCTGAGGAGCAGCAACGTAAAAAAAAAAAAAAAAGGCTTCATTGAACAGATGGACAGGAGAGACTGTTAAAAATACTCCGGGGGCTTCCAACCTGAGGGTGGGCTAAATCAACAGGTGTAGAAAGTGTCTGGGGGCATTTGTGTGAGAGAGGGACAGACGGAAAGAGAGAACGTTCAGACGAGGTGTTTGGGTTATCATTTATTCGTACGTCCTTTCAAAATAAAATGCATAAATCACAGAAAATAATAGGAATTATTCCTCTTTGATTTTCGTGTTTGACACATAAAGATAATCATTGTAGCAGAAGTCACTCTCCTCCACAGAGTAAAGTTAAGTCTCATGTTATATTTTGTGGTAAATCAAGTAGCGTTTTGTTACGTTAAGTTTGGTTTTATATTTTCCAACTCAATCTGAACTTGTTCTTGCCTGCGTCTGGCTTACAGCTGGCTATGAGGGGCCCCCCGGGGCCGATGGGTCTGACAGGAAGATCAGGACCAGTGGTGAGTCCCCCCCTTTTTCTGTCTTTGATGTGGTTTACCATGAAAGACAATCCTTTATTGTGCTCAGAAACATAACTTTTTTTAGAGCTCATGGTTTTATTTAGCCTTTTTGCATTCGTGCATATTTCTTCAATTCCACTCCCGTAACATCTGTGAGGATCTCTTCACTAAAGGATCATTTTTTCAGGAAGATGTAACACTTTTGATACCACGTTACATATACACAGTACATGTACGTCTATTGTTTTGTTTTTTTGTTGTAGTATTTGGTTTGTACTGCTGTTGCATGAGTACCCGGTGCAGGTTAACCAGATTCTGTCAGTTGCCAAGAAAATTTCATTATGTCTTCTCCCCTCTCTCCTTTGGGCCTGTTGATACACGATCCCCTATTTATCTGCTGCAGGAGAGAGAACACAAAGAAGTGCTCAGTTTTAAATCGGCCATTCGCAGCCCAAAGGGACAGGAGTATCGATTTGAACCGCATATTTATTCTCAAATACAAAGAGCACAGAGGAGGATTATTTTTTTGGCAACAAAACGTATCTTACCAAACAAGAAAACACGAGCGACTAAAGTCAAAAAGTCTTTTTTAAGTGAACAGTGGTATTTTATGGCTCCTTACATGTGCGCGTAACCTCCTGGTTACCGTTTTTTTTCCGTTATCATCTGCATAGAAATGATTTTTTTTTTTTCCCAGAATAAAATAGTACCTAACCCTACCTCCGTAGACTCTATACTCAGATAGCTAACGCATGTTATGCTAAGGAATGTGTAGAACCCCAACTCGGGGAATCTTTTATGAACCCGATCAAGCACAAGCATTCAAGCTAAACATCGCCCTCTGCTGTTTGTTTCCAATTCTTTGAACCCTGCTGCATTTTGTCACACACTGACCAAACTGTGTTTGGCACACCCCCCTCTCTTCAGGGTCCACCTGGAAGTTCTGGACTGAAGGGCGAAAGCGGAGATCCCGGTCCTCAGGTGAGCATGTAGCGATGCTATCCTTGCTACGTACATTAGCGGCCGTAGGACTGCGATTTATTCAGTTGTCACTTGTGTCTGTGCAGGGACCTCGTGGTATGCAGGGGCCTCCGGGACAAATGGGCAAACTTGGCAAAAGAGTGAGTAAATGTTCAATGACGCCGATCGTGTATGAGTACTGGGCAGTGTTATTTGTGCTAGCGGCTACGTCATTTAAGCTAAGATGTGTTTTTTTGGGGGGGGTTTTTTAAGTGTGGTATTCAATTGTGAAATATGATTGTGGCCTGCAGGTTTGGATGAATCGTTAATAAATCTGCATCTGTCAGAAAATAGCCAAATGAGAAAACGAGGCCTCGAGCTGCGATTAGCGCCTTAATATCATAACCGCACACAGAGCACAATATAATTCATCAACATAATTACGTCACCTCAACGAATCTGACTAACAAGTTGGACAGAAAATAATGTTGTATGTTATAGTTCTTTATATTAAATTATGTATATGTATATGTTTACAGAATAATGTTGTATGTTATAGTTCTTTATTTATGTTAAATTATATATATGTTTATGTATGCACATATATGTATATATTTATACGCCATCTATTGGGGAAAGGAGAGCATTGCAGGGGAAATGTTAAAAACTATATTGATACTATAAATTAATATAATAATTTGGACAAGTTTGCGGGCAGAATTAAAAAGCCAAACGGGCCGCATCCGGCCCCCGGGCCGTAGTTTGAAGATGAAATTAAAAATTAAAAAAATTACAAATTAGCTAGCCCATTTTTTTGGTTTAATCTCCAGTATTTTTCACTACGTATAAATAACATTTATGAACCTCCTTTAAGGGTCGTGCCGGATCTGACGGTGCTCGTGGAATGCCCGGAGAGCCAGGCTCCAAGGTATGAACATATAATACAATTAACATTATTGACACAAAACAGGAAGTGCTATTGTGGTCAGGCTGTGTTGACACGCTCTGCTCTGCTCAATCCCAGGGTGACCGAGGATTCGATGGACTCCCTGGCCTGCCTGGTGAAAAGGGTCACAGGGTGAGGACGGTTTGATTGGCAATTAAAAGAGCAAAAATGAATTTTCATCCTGCTTCCTCTGACATATCTGGCATCCCGTCCCATTTGTGTAATTGTTAAGGAATAGACTTGTTGCAACATTTTCATTGCTAGTTGGCAACAGATTTGTGTGTTTTGGCTGCGGTGATTGATGTGTCACAGCACAAAGTAATCATATAAACCGCCAGGTGATGAGTAAATAATCTGCCTGATCAATAGTTAAAAAAATTGAATGGCAGATTTTATTAATCCACTCATGTTAATGTGTCAATAGAAGTCTTGGAACATTAAAAAAAAAACAACACATTTTTTTTATCTTTGGCACCCCCTAGTGGCAGTGGGAATCCCTGCTATATACTAATTTTTAACATTTTTTTCTTTTTGACTTATGTGTATAAAGAAATGACATTCTGATTTATTTCCGACCGTCTAACGTTACATTCACGTTTGTTTTTGACTCGGGTTATCGTCACAGGGCGAGCCAGGGCCCATGGGACCTCACGGTTCCCCTGGAGAGGATGGACAGAGGGTGAGTTCTTCTCCCTTTTACCTTGAAATCCTTGAATAGTGGCACACCACTGACATCAGCTGTGGTCGAGCCTTCCAGAGCCTCAGGCAGAGGTAGCTGGATGTTGTCAAATAGGGGGTGGGAGGGGGTTGGGTGTTTGACCTTTCGCAACTTTGTTGGTTGGTCGTAATCAAAGTTCTTTTCTCCCTCAGGGTGAGGATGGAGAGATCGGACCCAGAGGATTACCAGGAGAGAGTGTGAGTTGACGTGCCGTTAATGTCGACTCTTTATATATTTGTCAATGACATGACGGTGACATTGTCCACTGACTTGACCGGTGTCTTGCCCCCGACAGGGTCCTCGAGGTTTGCTTGGACCTCGTGGTTCTCCAGGACCTCCTGGATCTCCCGTACGTAACCCGACCTTCTCTTAGACTTTCTTTTAAATTTTTGGACATATTTTTGACTGTATTGAATTAAAAAGCCTAAACAAATCTTCTTCCTTCGTCATCACAGGGTGTCGCTGGTGTTGACGGGCCTCCTGGTCCCAAAGGAAACATGGTGAGAACGTTTTATCTTTCACAATAGCAGGATCGTTGCTGCCGAGACATGGGACACGGTTTGGGTTGCGGACAGGTTCAGTTTACACTGTACAAAACTCCTTCGGGAGGCACAGCTGTGAGGTTAAAGGTCATACTCAGGTTTAAGGGGGGGGAGGTGAGAAGTGGTTCAGGCGACTTGAAAGGAAGTGAAGGATTGAGTGCTAACGTTGCGATGCTAGGAGGAGATAAGGAGAAAAGCAAACAAAGTGATTAATCAGCTGCTCGACTTGTTTCACACCTGGTTTTTTTTTCACGGTGGTTAACGTTTTCGCAGCGGTGATTTACAGGTGGTAGAATTTTTTTTTTTTAAATTACTAAAACTGAAATTTTTGTTTCCAGCAGACAGCTGGTGATAATCTGTCCGAATGTTGACAATGACACCGATGTGTGTAATGAAAGGCGGGGGTAGTCGGGGTCACGAAGGACAGAGGCTGGTGCCGGGTCCACCGCTGTTGTCCACTTTTGAAAAGTTGTTTTTTTTTTTTTTTTTTTTCAGGGACCGCAAGGAGAACCCGGCCCACCTGGGCAGCAGGGAATCCCGGGAACACAGGTAAATGAAGGAGATAACACACTCACACACGCGCCGGTTCCCTGCCGCTGATGACAAACGCACACACACACTCTTGTGTGCGATGACTCTTGAAATAACGTTAAATAAGATTCAACATTTTATTTTATTTCCTGGATATTTGAGTTGTTTTGTGATTTTTTTTGACATTTAACTTGCGTACTGTGGACGTTCCTTACTGGTCAAAAAACTACACACACACTTTTACACACACACAAACAGGGGTTGATCCATTTGAAAGCATCGTATTCATGTTGGTTGGAATTCCTGCAAAGCCGCCACACGTGTTGGAGCAAGCCTGGGTGCCTCGAATTACACACACACACACACACACACACACCTAAACACACAAATGCAACATCACTTGGCCACCGCTGTGTGTAAACACAGTAAACGTGAGCACGAGATTTTAAATGGACGAACTGTCAGCGGCTTTTTGGACGACACGTCGTCTCACCTGCTGTTGTCCGCGAAACACGGAATAAAATCACCTCCGTTTAACTCTCCTATAACAACTCCCCTTTATTCACTCTGTACTTTTTTTTTTTTTCTTTTTTTTGCTCTCCGTGTGTGCACATGTGTTTGAGCCACAGGCTCTCATGAATTTATATATGTCTCACTCTCTCTTCCTCACAGGGTCTTCCTGGACCTCAGGGCCCCATTGGACCACCTGGAGAAAAAGTAAGGACCTTTTTTTTTAAAAATCATGTTTATTTACCTATAACATGTGTAATATGGAGTATTTTTGAGTATATATGTTTAGTTACCTATATCATGTGTAATATGTAATATAGTATTTTTGAGTATATTAAAAAAAATGTATTTGGTAAATGACACTTTAATTCTCAACTGTTTTTTTTTTTTATCTCTGTGCAGGGACCTCAGGGCAGGTCAGGATTGGCTGGATTACCTGGAGCTGATGGGCCTCCTGTACGTTCTATTATCACCTTTACACACACATACTGTATATGTATATATATACTGTATATATATATATATATATATATATATATATATATAGTATACATAAAAATATTCATCATAAATAACAGAATATCAATTGAACAGTTTATTTGCACAAAGTCAAAATTCACAACTTCGCCTCGTTATTTTATATCAATTTCCAACATTACTAGTACCCAGTTTCCTAGTAAACCTAAAGAACTAGTAATCAAGGGTGTACTTTGTTTATTCAAAATAATCTACCCTTAGCCTGCACTAATTATAGAAGCATTTTTTTACTCAGGGATTTCCGATATTAGCTTTTTGCCGATATCCGATATTGTCCAAACGCTTAATTTCCGATTCCGAAATCAACCGATACCGATACATGCACCCGTTTGCAGCACAGCACTTACTTTCACTTTCACTTCAAAACTACTTTGAGGTCACATGATCTGGGCAAAACCCACATATTGCATTATCAGGTCTACGATATCTGAGGAAAAAACGGATAACGATTCTTACCGATAATACGTAATTATGCTAATATCGGCCGATGATATCAGTTGGGCGATGTTAGCTATGTTAGCCTGGCATGAAATCAGGCTTGAAAACTTCTCTATTTTTAATATATATATATATATATATATAGCATATATATATTGCATATATATATATATATATATATAGCATATATATATTGCATATATATATATATATATATATAGCATATATATATTGCATATATATATTGCATATATATATATATATATATATAGCATATATATATTGCATATATATATATATATATATATAGCATATATATATTGCATATATATATATATATATATATATGCAATATATATATGCAATATATATATGCTATATATATATATATATATATATTAGTATATAATAGCATAGCATTTTTTCCATTAAAAAAAAAACAAGAGTCTCCTTATTTGGTAAAAGACAGACATGTCAATCAAGACGGCCCTCACACTGACCTCACGGTGACCTCACACTGACCTCACAAACTGGTGAACTGTCTGTGATTTCAAGCCAAGCTAACATAGCTAACAATTAGTCATATCAGTCTGTCCGTTTTAGATGGACATTGTTAAGTGATTTAACTAACTAAATGTATTTACTCCCACATCGAACCCACATGTGAGAATAAACTCATTCGTCGTCCCTTTTTTCCCACAGGGTCATCCTGGCAAAGAGGGGCCACCGGGAGAGAAAGGAGCGCAGGTAGGGTGTACTTTTAATTATGGAAAATTGTCCTGATGAAACTCCTTATCTCAGTCTTCAGATAAACTGTGTTTGTCTGCCTTGATAAATGAAAGGAACCTTAATCTTTAATTCGCTCAGTTTGACGGAACAACAGCCTCATTAACATTCCTCCGTCGCCTTTATCGCACTACTGTTTTCTTTTTGATTTAACCAGCAGTGCGGGACACATCACTTTAATTAAACATGAAATCTTAGAGTTCTTAGAGACAGGTGATTTTACTTTATTGCGGTGAGGCTGGACATAAGTGTACCAACTGCTGTTATCAGGTCTGTCTGTTCCCTGTTCCTGCAGTGTGGGGTAATCAGTGTCATCACACCCACCTGGGTCTCTGTGATTAGTCTCACTCGTGTCACCTGGTGCCCTGTGTATATATACACCTCTCTCCCTCACTCTGGCCTGGTGGGATCAGTGTATCTGGTCTTTGTCGTTTTGGCGGTGCACTTTCAAATAAACTACTGCCACTGTAAAGAGTCTCTCCAGTACTGCATTTGGGTCCTGGCTGCTTCCTGTCTAATACTTGAATGATAACAAGCCTCCAGTCACTAGGTGGCAGCAACTCATACAGTGGTTTGTACAGATAAAAATATACCTGCTATCAGGTTCTCAATAGTATTTCAATTTAAAGGGGGTGGAGGGGTGTGAAAACGTTACTCTCCACAAGAGGGCGGCATGACAGAAAATAATTCAGAACCACTGCTATAGTACAATGTTTACCAAACTTTTGTGACCCAAATCAATAGACATTATTCGTAAACTCCTGGGAAGCATGATGCAAAAAAAAAAAAAAAATCTCTTGCAACCCACCTGAGGGTCCCGACCCAGTCTTTGGGAAACAATGCTATAGAACATACTGTAGATTTAGAAAATGTGACATCATCATAGACCGTTTGCCTCTCAGATCACGAAGACACACAGTTTCTTAGCCATCAAATTGCAAAGCATATTCAACCACACTCTGATTTTTTTTTTTTTCCCCTCCAGGGTCCTTCAGGTCCTCAGGGTCCCATTGGGTATCCCGGACCTCGTGGTGTGAAGGTCAGATTTACATTACGTTTACATTTGAATAACCGAAGGCTTTGGACTGCATCGGCATTAAACTTGTGATGTCTCTCGTTCAACAGGGCGCCGACGGTGTCCGTGGTCTCAAGGGGTCGAAGGGAGAGAAGGTATGAACTGCTGAATCTTTTCGTAATGTAATTGAACTCGCAAAATCAATTTGATAATAATAATAATAATAAATTGTTTCATATTGATAAACCCTGTGATGAGTCAGGAGATTAAATAATCAGTTTATGTTTTATTATTGGCGTACAATATGTCTAAGGAGAGCGGGCAAAGAAATGTAAAAT